CTTTCCCCAAAAATTTCTGAACGAACACTGGTTTGATCGATCTGAATGCTAAGATATCTTTGAATTTCGACTTGAATCTACAAATTTTGTTAGGTATTTGATGTTTTAACTATTTTTCCTTTGATATTTGGCTTCAATGTTCAAATTTTTGTATTGAATAAGGTTTTTGTGATTTTGTTGAAACCCTAGAAGTCGCAAATTATTCATCAAATGGATTCAATCTAAGCTATTACTACTTATGAACGAAGGATGTAAGTATCAATTTATTGATTTTGGGCATTTTACTTTGCTTTTATGTGAATTTTGGTAGTATCAATTTAAATTGAAGGATAAGAATATTGGTGCTCTAAAGCTAAGCTCTTGAATCTGTTAGTTTATAGGAAATTGATTGTTTATTTTGGGATGTTTACTTATTGGATTTAATGGATCAATAATATGATTATGATGTAGTTCTCTCTCTTCTTCATTATCATCATTGTTTATAATTTGCAATAGTATTCTTGATGTTTGATTTTTTGCAAATTTAGAAATCACTTTTAGATGCTCATAACCTATTCGATAAAATGCCAAGATGAAATTTAACTGCATGTTGTGTGTATGATTATGTAAATCAATATTGTTGTTTTGACTATCTTAGCTTAGATTAGCAAGTGTAACCTTGTTTTTAATCTCTGTTTTAAGCTTCTAACATACTTTTTTTTTTTCAAATAGAGATGGTGATGAAGCACTTGTCAAAAAGAAAAAAAAAAGTGATGGTGATGATGAAGCTGTAAAAATTGATGATCAGTGGTCTAGAAATCCAATTGTGAAGTCATCTTTACTAGAAGCTATAAACAATGATCAAATTCAAAGGTTGGTTATCATCCATGGGTATTGTTCAATTTTTTATAAATGTTAGATGTGTTCTAAAATTTTACTCATATGTTTTTTTTTTTGAGATTAAATTTTACTCATATGTTCTAAAACTTTACTTGTATGTTCTAAATTTAATTCAATTCTAATTTTAATTCTTATTTTACTCACATTTTATGTTTTCTACTAGAATTTTGTTGAGTATGCAGTATATATACATTCTAGTTCAATTGTTAATTTTTGCTACAACTTTATATATGTCTAAATTTTTTACCCATATGTTCTAAATTTTTATACATATGTTCTAAATTTTTTTACATATGTTCTAAATTTAAACTCATAAGTTCCAAATTGTATAATGTAAGTAGCAGATTTAATTGAATCATGTAAGTTGTGTAAATCTATTTTATTTTTTTATAATGATGTAAAAAATGGGATAGCGGATACCAAAGTCTAATGATTTTATCTTATTATATTGCAGATCGATCAAATGAAGAAATTGAGGGAAGATTTTTGTGCTAAAATATTATCACACAAGGAAAATGAGCTACATCATGAGATTACTTCAAGATCACGGAAATGGGAAAAAGAAAATAATTTGTAATAAAATTTTAGAAATAGCATGTAGAATTTTATATAGTATAATTATACTAATACTATTTTTCTAAAAGGGTGTATTCGAATATATAAGCTTGTTTTGTCTTTCTTGTGATCTACTTCATTGTTATGCATGCAAGAATATAAAAATACAATTTATTATATATTAATACTCATATGTTCCAAATTTTTATCCATATGCTATAAATATTAATGTGAAAATATATAATGTTATATAATTTTTTATGTTCTAAATTGCTATTTAGAAATCCCCTTAGAACAAAAATATAGCATGTTATTGTAAAATATTAGTCATATGTTCTAATTTTTTATCCATAAGCCCATAAGTTCTAAATTTTTATAAATTTGTTCTAAATTATTACTCATATGTTCTAAATTATATGTTTATATATGTTTTAAATTATAACTCATATTTTTTATATTAAAACTCATATATTCCATTTTTTTACTCATATCCTCCCACCCAAATACATCTGAATGAAATTTAAAGTCATGCAGCACACCCTCCCACCAATTTAAATCATTATGGTCTAAATTTTTAATTTTGAAATCCCATCGAAAACATACAAAACACATGAATTAAAAAATAGTACTTATGTATTCAAAAACTAAGAATTTAAGTGATAAATTTTAATCATATGGTCTAAATTAAAATTTTGAAATCGCATCGGAAACATACAACACACATGATTACTAATTATAACTCATATGTTCTAAATTTTTAGTCATATGTTCTAAACTTCAATACATACGAAGTATATGTATTAAATTCAAACTATAATCATTTTTATACTACAAAAAAAGTGTTATTCAATACACAGATTCAAAAAAATGTTCTAAAATCATTAAGTATCATTTAACTTTCTTTGGACAATTTTGAATATCATGGTGACTCAATTCCCCACAACATATGCTAGTAGCATTATTTTCAACATTACTTCTTGCATTCCTCTTAGCTTCCAAATTCAGCCTCAATCATTGAAGATTAATCACAAGGTCTTTGATATCTTCATCATCGCCCTCTGCCAAACTAGCACAATCATGTTTTGAACAACCACTCAAATGATTCAATATCTTCCTTTGCTATGAAACCAGCCGCAAAAGTGATGCAACTCTTGTGATGATCAACCCTTGTAAATGGAGTAAATGCCATGTTGTACTTGTTTAGAACAAGAAGATCAAATTTCATTACACACGAAATATAGCAGTACCTATTTAGAACACGTGATGAAATATTTAGAACATATGAGTAAAAATTTAAAACACGTGATTAAATATTTAGAACACATGATTAACTCAGAACAGAAGACATTATTTAGAGAATAGATTTAAGGCTGAAGTTTACTTAATTATTTAGAGCATAAAGGTAATGAGTTTATAAAACATAATTTGGACCATTAGACTAAAACTTTATAACATTAAAAATAAATTTTACAACATGTGAATAAAATTTAGAACATATGATAAAAAATTTTAGAACACGTGATTAAATATTTAGAACATATGATTTGAACAGAAGACTAATTTTTAAGAGCTTAATTTCAATAATGAAGTTTATTTAATTGTAATCGGAACATAAGAATCACTATTAAGTACATTTGAATGAAGAGTTAGTTGTTAAAGTTTATGAGCATATAAAATATAATTTGGAACATTAGTCTAAAAATTTAGAACATTAGAAATAATTTTTAGAACATTTGAATAACAATCTTAGATCATGTAAGTTTTTTAGAAAAAACAATTTAAGATTTAGAACATATGAGTATGAAATTAGAACAATATTTATAATAATTAATTCAAAGTGTACATGCAAATTTGATTTAAAACAAAGAGATTTATTATATATAGAGCATAAATTCAAGACTAAAGTTTAACCTAATTAAGATGTTTGTTCTAAATTTTTACTTATATGTTCTAATTTATGACTCATACATTCTACATTGTTATTTAGACACCCCCTTAGAAAAATCAGAACATGTTCCAAAATTTTACTCATTTGTTCTAAATTATTTATCAAATGCTCTAAATTATTCATCAAATTTTACTCATCTACATCTTCAGTTATTACTTTCCCTTGCTTTTTTAACATGTTCTAAATTTATACATACATGTTAGAAAAATTTCAACCATGTTATACGATTTTTGTTCATCCATAATTTTCAACCTAATATTATGAACCTGCAAAAATTCAGATTACAAATTTCAAATGAAACACTGATAATATACACAAATTCAATCCAAGCAATCAAGTTCCTCCGATCGCCCAGCCACCATCTCCCTTTCGGCACACCACCCCAAGTTCCTCCGATCGCCGGCGATGCTACCTAGACTCCTCCGACTGCCGGTGCGCCAACTCCACCTCAAACACCGCCAAGCAGATTCCCAAATCCCCTGCCACAACCCTCCTTCCCTCTCCTCCTTCTCACCATCACCCCACTAGAGCGCCGATCTCGGAACCCTGACCACCCCCGCACCGCTGAACCCCAAACACGAATTGGATTTTGTAGATCGAACTAGGAGCGACCGCTTCAATGGAATTAGCGCCGGCTCTGAAGGGTCTTGTGGTGGCTCTGATGTGGACTGAGTGCGATGGTGGCTGTTGTGGTCGAATTGGAGGTGCTGGTGGTTAATTCGGCGGCTAACGGTGGAGGTAGGGAGGTGGGTTGGTCGCGGGCTGCTGTGCGAGGGAGTTGTTGCCTGGGGTTCGGCGGTTTGGGTGTGAGGTCAGTGTTTCAGACGAGGGAATAAAATTGAAACCATATTTTTGATTGTAAGAATCAAATTTAAATCAAAAATTCGAAAATAAGATGGAAATTTGAAAAAAAAAAACGCATATAAATCGCAAAAATCGAATAGAAACCAAAAATCGAACATAAATCAAACATAAAACGAACAAACTCGAGTATAAAAATCGCCAAAATCAGGGAAAAAATTATGAAAAAACTAAGAAAAATTGCATTAAAATCAAAGCAAAAAATCGCTTAAGAAATTGGGAAAAATCGCATAAAAATGCTCAAACAAATCACAACAAAAATCATAAGAATATAATGAGTAAAAAGAATTGAATCATAAGAATTGAATTACTTACCTAAGAACAAGAGGAGAGAGAAAGTCAAGCTTTATGGAGAGAGAGAGAAGCTGGTAATTTGAGCATGGGTTTGGAGGATGAGTTGAATGTGTGGGTAGGAAGGGTTTTATTTGAGCGCAAATTTACACTTTTTCCATTACTCTTGGAGTGATCTCAGCTGTTGGATCTTGTTCTATTTAGGGTTGTGATGTATTCTCATATATGATAGATTTCTCATATAAATACCTATTCTCACCGGATCTCTCCCATATATATATATATAGGGAAATTCTCAACGGTAACCCCCAACTTTTGCTACGAACTAATGGTAACCTCCCTTTTTTTTAATTATACAAAATGGCCCCAATTAACAACTTTATCTCACTTATGACATTAATGAGGGTTAATTAATTATAAAAAACTAACTATGGTTAGCTTTGAAAAAAAAAAACTAAAAAGAAAAACCACCACCTCCACCCTTATCCCCACCAGATCTAGCTAGCACCACCACCTCCACCCTCATCGGAGCCACCTCCCACCCAACCTCCTCGTCTGAAACACTGACCTCACACCCAAACCGCCGAACCCCCAGGCAACAACTCCCTCGCACAGCAGCCCGCGACCAACCCACCTCCCTACCTCCACCGTTAGCCGTCGAATTAACCACCAGCACCTCCAATTCGACCACAACATCCACCATCGCACTCAGTCCACATCAGAGCCACCACAAGACCCTTCAGAGCCGGCGCTAATTCCATTGAAGCGGTCGCTCCTAGTTCGATCTACAAAATCCAATTCGTGTTTGGGGTTCAGCGGTGCGGGGGTGGTCAGGGTTCCGAGATCGGCGCTCTAGTGGGGTGATGGTGAGAAGGAGGAGAGGGAAGGAGGGTTGTGGCAGGGGATTTGGGAATCTGGCTTGGCGGTGTTTGAGGTGGAGTTGGCGCACCGGCAGTCGGAGGAGTCTAGGTAGCATCGCCGGCGATCGGAGGAACTTGGGGTGGTGTGCCGAAAGGGAGATGGTGGCTGGGCAGTTTGTGGGTGGTTTTTGGTGTTTAAGGTTAATTTTTTTAATTTTTCTTTTTTTTTTAAAAAATATAAATCTAACTATAGTTAATATTTAATGAAATTAGGTTATGAATGAGATAAAATTTTTAACTAAGGTCATTTTGTATAATAAAAAAAGCAAAAGTTGAGGGTTACCGTTGAGAAATTCCCATATATATATATCCCCTTCCTCCCTCCCAACGTTTTCATTGAAACATACGCAACGTTCTCCATTGAAGCGGTCTCCGTTGAATCTAACACTTGTATGATTGTATACCCCATTGAAGCAGCTTCTGAGGTAAGTTGTTTATTTTTGTTATCATCATATCAGTTTCACAATCTAATTTTATTGTCAGTGCATTAAGTTTAGGGTTCGAAAATATCAACTATTGATTCTAAATTCTAAGATAACCAGCAATTATTTACCAGAAAAGAAAATTATGTGCCTAATTTGATTATTGATCCCTAAAATTATGTGATTTTCGAGATAATTGAATCAAATTTTGTTGCGAATGCATTGCACTACCCTTTAATGTTAGGATTCAACTATGAAATTTTGCAGGCTTTTGTTTAAGATGGAATTATGAAAAGGGCTTAGCTTAAAGAAAACGAGCAATGCAACTTAATTATACACCTTATTCATTTACGGCAATTCATGTATTGTCTTTTTTTTCCCTTCTGATTTTCGACCGTATCCTAATCCTGAAAAAGTTGGAAATGTTTCTATTAGGGTCTGGTGAAACAATTTTTATGGAGTGTGTGGTTCAGGGAATAATTGAGACCCAGGTACAATTTATAGCGTTTTTTTTTTTTCAATCTAATGTTTGTTCATGTTTGAATGTTTCCTGTAGTTAATCTTAACCTACATGACTTTGCAATCTGATTTTTGTTTTTTTTTTTTTTTTTTTTTTTTTTTGTTTTTATTTTATTTTATTTATTTTTTTGGTGTGTGTGTCTGCATTTGTTTTATCAGAGCCTATAGCGCAACAAGTCCAGGCTAATACTTCCTCTGCGCTTAATAGTTTTCACACTTCTTTTTTGGTTTTATAATTTGCCCATTTCTATATTAATGCTTCTCTTGTTAATATAATGTCGATTTCATCAACTGTGTGTTGCTTCAGTAACATTTGGTCTTTGCCATGTTTATAATTGAGACTCATATTCTGAACACTAATATTATATTTGCAGGCAGTGCCGCACCTTTAGAAGTAGAAGTTAACAAGCAATTTTTTAGGAGGATCCTTTATAATTTGCAATATCAGCCATACCCTAGAGTCAAAAGAGCTATTGATCTATACTTATATATTAAAAAGCATTCCTAAAACACAATGTGTTCCACGTGTCACATTTTTCAAGTTCAACATGTCAGCAATATGCGCCACTTGTGATTCACTTGTATTAGGTTTGCATCTAAAAAATTTCTTATTAGCAAGACTTGAACTCAAGACCAACAATTCTTAAGTTTAGAGTCTTACCATCTTAGCCATTTATTAATTGTGTATATTTATCCAACAAAATTATATTTAACTTAGATATGTTAATTTGTGTCTTATTATACAATTTGTTTCCATTATGTAATGATTGAATTCGACAACTAAAAAATGTTTATAGCAAGAATTAAACTCAAAAACAACAAGTCTTACTATCTAAATAGTCGAATTTGATCAGGAACTTAAACAAGTACAAACTAGCATCCTGGGGCATCGCCCGGACCACACTCTAGTTAAATAATTAAAACAAGCTAATGCACATGTATCTTTTCTTTGTGTCCTTGAATCTTTTGGCTTGTAGAAAGACGTAGGTTGATCTCAATAATAACATAAATATTGCTCTCCTTTCGGGTATAAACACAGGCTTACAAAGAATGGGACTACTAATATCTTTATCTAACACACCAACAACAGCAGCAGCAAAGTCTTAGACTCTTAGTCCCAAAATGATTTGGGGATATCTCGAATACACCAACTTAGAAAAATGCATGTCCTCTTATGGAGATGAAAAGGCATTTTACCCTCCTTGGAATCCCTTTTTTCCACCTCATTTTCTCATAGTCAAAACCTGAAGGTAGTTTTGGATATGTATAACTGCTTATACACAACGAAAAAGTGTTTTTTTATCCTCAAAAATTTCCTCCTTGGTTTGAAGATCTTTTTAGGTACACCCAATGCTATTCTCTTGCTTATTTGTCAATTTGGAGCCCTCCAAATGAATAAAAAAATCCTTTAGTGAGAGAAAATGAGCACCAGTAAGAAAGCTTCTCAAGGGGCACATGCTCTTTTTCCTTTATTTTTGTTGTTTTCAATTTCATTTTGTTCCTTCAGGGGAAAAAAAAAATTCATTTGTTGACTTAGAAAGCTACAGACTTCAAGCAAAGAAATGGTCGATGCATTTTGCCTCACGCTTTAGTTTTGGTGGCATGTGGTGTAAACCAATTAAACTTTGCTACACCAATCTTGATGGTTGGCGCAACCAGAGCTCCTCAAACCTCATGCTCTGGTTCTTTGAAGCTAAGTGTACAACAAATCCTCGTGATTTTTTTGCTGCTTAGGCCTTTATCCCAAAAAAAGCATTGTTTAATTTTGAAAATTCAAATTCACTATTCTATTCTCGCTCTCCCACTCTCTCTTTACCTCTACTTCTCTATGCCCTTGGTGACCTGATTGATTTAGTAACCATTTTTGGAGTTTTATCTTAATGTTCTTGGTATTTCATATTTTCACGTTAAGCAACACCTAATTTCACTTATTTTTTTTTAACTTTCTTTCCTCGCTACTTTCCTTTGATTGCCTTAGCTCCACTCTTATTTTTTAATGCCTTCGTCCTACTTATTAAGTGAGTTATTTTTTTATTTTATTTTTTATTTTTTTATTTTGGCCATTGTTCATTGACATTGTCTTCTTACAAAAATTCTCGAATCAGTGAAACCGATTACTACATGGATGATCACACGTGTATAATCCTGTTTTCAACATATAGTATTCTGGAACTTTAAGTTTAGAGATAAAAGCTGGGATGTTTAACGAGGGTTACATGCTTACAATTCGTATTCGAACTCTATCACATAAGCAGAATACTTAATAAATGAAGACTGTGTTGGACTATAAGTATAGAATTCAAATTCTAGGGGTGCTTAAGGTAAACAAGTAGCATCTAGTTTTATTTTCTCTCCTGCTGGGTACTTTCCAAGTCTGCTGTGATGTTTTTCAATACAGAATTCATGTATAAGCAAGGACAACAATCATATCCTTGAAGATGGGGAGAAGAAAATTAGAGGGAAAATTGGATCAAAGCTCATGATAAGCTCATATTTATGGTGCTGAAAATATGTTGCTACTCTATCCTAATCACAATTTCGCCACTGTCTTTGGACCAAAATAACCAATCAAAACAAATTTTGTGACATCAATGTTGGTAGATCATTCAAAGCTTGCTGTCTCTTTTATAATTATGAGAGAATTACATAATTTTTTTCCTCTTTCATGACCATATTGTGGCTATAATTGGCTGCACATGTAACTTTTTTTGATAATCATCTGACTCTTCTCCTTGCTGTATGTGGCTGTGGAGAAAATCTTTTTCTGCCACCTTTTCTTAATGGTGTAATAAGTTAAAAAAGGATTATATCACTTACTATACTTCATCCTGCTTATACTGCAGTTGGGCGTTAATTCTTGTTCAGCTACTTTTTTTATGCTTATACAGTTGTACCTACTTAAAACTTTGCCTTGTGATCGACAAAAATGGCTATAATTACCAACTATCCAAAGAAAAAAAAAAGCAGAAAAACCTTCCTTCATGCTTTTGGAAATTGCCTTACGATGTTAGACAAACGACTCTCGTGTGGCTGCTTAAAATAGAGTAACAGATGGCAAAATTGTAGTATTTATGGCATTTTCCCTTACATCATGTATGAACCATTGATCCTACTAGAGCAAATCCTTAGAAAGATAGCTAGGTAAAAAATAATATCGTAAGATTTCTACTCTTGAACAATGAAATTCTAAACTCCAAAAAATAATTCTTCTCCCTCAAAAGCAGAATATAATCATCTTTAATCCCTTATCACTAAAGTTCTTAATTATATAGGTAGTTAGCTAGGGGGATGTATCTTTTTTCCCTCTTTATTGTTTTTTGTACTTGTGAACTTAAGGATTGCTTTTTTACCTAAAAGGTAATTCAATGGAATTGATAGAATATCTTACTCATGGCTTCTTAATTTCTTATAGATAAAATTTGGATTTTTAAGGTGTAATTGACTCAAACTCATACTGTTTGAATTCACTTTTTAACATATCTGCCTTTGCTACAGCATGTGGAAGCACTAGAGATTCTTCTGCAGGGTCTTTGTGGAGTCAATAAGGAGCGGTTAAGGATTCATGAGTTGTGCTTAAAAAGTAGCCCAAACCTTGGTAATTTGTTATTCTCTCTGTTTGGATATCTAGAGTAATTTTGGTGCAGTATTGTTTGTTCTTTGCTGTAGATTGCAATTTAATAATCCTCTGGAAACTTTTGTATCTTTAAATAGAAGGCCTTTCTTAGTTCATTTCATCCCAGATAATATTATGTGATAATTTATTTAAGCCTTTTTTTCGGAATGAATAAAATAAGTTTAATTTGGGCTTTGTTCTTTTAATTTGAAATTCACTAAACCTCTTTAGTCTGATTTAAACTTATGGAGCTTTCTTTTCTTTTCTTTTCTTTTTTTTTTCTTTTATTTTTATTTTTATTTTTTTCTTTTATTTATTTATTTATTTATTTTTTTAATTTGCTAAATTATGGTGGTGAATTGAACTTAGGTAGCTCTGACAACTTATTTTTAAAGGTGAAAAGATCAAAGCCGTAAAATTCATAGCTTACAAGGCTAAGCTACTAGCTACATAAATGCATATACACCAAACAACTAAGTTTTAGAGGGTTAGAATTTAGGGATTGTGAGGGCTTGCCTTATAGGAACAATGTCTCTTAATAATTGTCATTGCAACCCACACCTGAATCACCAGATCTAACTAAGCTACTCAAGAGTTACAATGAAGATCAACTTCTCTCCAAGAACTCCAGTAACTTCTTGTGCTTGTGCTGAATCCTTGCTAATAAGAATTGAACAAAGGTTAAAAACCCTATACTGTAACTCTGTAAGTGGTTGCAGTTTTGCCATGTTCTGAAAAGTACTACTTCTCCTCTTATTCACTTCTTCAATCCTCTTGAGCCATCAAAAGGCTTAAATAAGAATCATCATGGAATATAAATTATAATATCTACTTGTAGTTACTCTGGCAGTCATCTCACAAAATTTGTTTGAAAGGGAAGTCTACACATCAATAACTATATACACCAGCAATGACACGTGTCATTTTATGGTGTGTCATTTTTTTTTTTTGAATAAAATTCAATTAAAGAAACAAAATTTATTTACAAAAATAATTCTCTAATCTTATACGATATAACTACTTAAAATAAAAAAGATTTGATATATATTTTACACGAATATTTATATAGCTATTAAAAATTTCTTAACTCATAATTTGTGAATTCCTTTATTTTACTAATTTTCAACATCGCTTTATGTCTAACATATCTTACGCAATCCTTTATTTTGCTCAAAATTTGTCAACTATATTTTTAGATTTTTTTTTATTTTTTTTATTTTTTTTTTGTTTTATAAAAACTGATTATAATGATAGTTTAATAATGGTTATTAAAAATTACCGTGCACGGCACGGAACTAACCTAGTAACCTACTGAAGAAGGCTCATTTGAAGGTGTCAAAGCCCATATAAATACTAACCTTAGTGAAAAGTGGAGGGGAGCTTGATTTTGCGTGTTCTTTGACTCGTTTGATTGAGCATCAATCAGAGATGAGTAGCTTTTAGCTTCTGCTTTTCACCTTCTTTTGTTCAGTGACCCTTGCTTCTGTTTTTTTTTTTATTTATGCTGCTCAATATAATTTTTCTTTTTAAGTTCACTAAAACCTACTACAGTAAGTTTTGGATCTGCTCTCTTCTTGGCTCTACAACCAGCCTATTTAACTTTTATAAGTCTGAATATTGATAATTCTGAAATTTTCTTTGAATGACTGCAAAAGAGTCCAGCTAATTCTGAAATTTCCTTTGAATGACTGCAAAAGATTCCTGCTAATTCTGAAATTTCCTTTGGAAGACTGCAAAAGAGTCCTGCTTTGCCATTTTTGAGAATTTTTGGTAGGATTTTGATTAGAGATGTTCTTCAGCTGTTTTGTATCTGGAGTGGTTCAAATTCAAATCCATATAAAGGTCATCCTTGAGGTCTTTTAGAGGCCTTATGCCCTTACTTCCTTCATTAACAAATAGAGGGTCGTTTAATTTGCAGAGCAATCAATTTGATGTGTATTACTATTTAAAAAATAAAAAAAAACCCTATTTACTAGTAAACATGTCTTAGATTTCCAGGACAAGTCAAGGGCTCTTAAAATTGAGTTCACACCTCAACACAAGGGAAAACAAAAATACACACTTAAATATTGCAATGCTTGGTTCTGAATAACTTCTGAAGTATCATATCAAATTCACAATATTTTGACAGAAAGGAAAAGAAAGTCACATACTTTTCAAAACACTTTTGGCAAGGTTATCCATCTTGACCTGATAGTGGAGAGAGGTTCCCTAAAATTGTGACAAATGAAAACTAATAAAAAAAATTTGCGTATTCTTCATGGTGTTTTGACAATTAGTAGGTAGCTCTATGTCTCCTATATGTATCTTCTTGATCTTTTTGTCAGTTGTGATGATTTGAGAGTGTAGGATTTTGTTCTTAGAGTAGGAACTTATTCCTACTTCTAGTGCCTTTACTACATGTAGCAACATTAAATCTGCTTCCTACAATTGTCAGACCCCTGCTATACCTTCATCCTCTTTTCTACCATCCTGCAAGGACCATAGATATTTTTTTGATGAGTTGGAATAAACCAATGTGCCAGCAAGAATTTGCCTCACCACTAGACTTATTATATGGGAAACTGAACCTGTTGCTTAATGCAAAACCTACTGTCAATTAAAAAGCTCTTAAAGTGCAACATAAGTTTTAGATCAGCATAAGATAATGTGCTCTCTGCTCCCCAATCATATCACACCCAGTCCTCAAATTTTGAATAAGCTGGCTTGATTTCATGTCCTACCATGATTGACTAAGTCCATACCCACATCTATGAATCTATGTCCTCATGTAAGACCGTCTATGAAGCAGCCCATACTTGTCTTATTACGCCTTCAGTAATAAAGTAATTAAACAGCGCTAATTATCTGTATAATTGCAAGAAAATCATCCATATTAATTTGGAAAATGGGAACTAATCGAGAGCAAGTACTTGTGCCTTTTTGTGAATAGGACTTTTATGAAGAGCAGCATCTATTTTGTTCTTTAGTGTGATATCAAAATTACTTTCTTCTTCAACCATTTATTTGTTACCTTTGTTTAGGTTCTGCTAGCTCCATCTAAATTACCACTAGAAAATTGTTGCTTGTGTGCTGCAGATTGCACTAGCTATTATCTCTATAACCATCAGCATTTGCTATATATATATATATATATATATATATATATATATATATATATATATATATATATATATATATATATATATATATATATATATATACTTCCTCTGTTCTTTTTTACTTCCTGTTTCTTTTATCACGCTTGCCAATGCAAAATTTTAACGATTAACAACTTAAATTCTCCATAAGTAAAAATTATAAAAGTTATATATTATGACAGTACTTATTAAGACGAATCCAAAAAGATCATACATGAATATATTTTGCTTTACAAATTATTCACAAAAGACGGTCAAAGGAGGGATGGTGAATAGTGTAAAAGTCAAAGCGGGATATATATATATATATATATATATATATATTTATATATATGGATCTTTTGTCCAAAACTACCTTCATTTGACAACTATTTGTCCAAAACTGCCTCATTAAATTTTTTTTTGTCGACAACTACCTTTAAAATGAGTTTTTATTGTTGACCACTACCTAAATATTTTTTCAGACATTGACCTTAATATTCAGGTCACTTAAAGACATGTGCAGGGCACATGTTTTAGTTTTTAATGATTTTGTTTTATTTTCCCCCATTTTCATCCATTTTCTCTCTCTTGGGGAAAAAAAATTAACAAAACCATAAATTAATGAAACATGTGCCCAGCACATGTTTTTAAGTAACCTGAAAATTAAGGTCAACGCCTGAAAAAAATATTTAGGTAGTGGTCAACAATAAAATTTTAAAGGTAGTTGTGGACAAAAAAAGCTTAATATGGTAGTTTTTGACAAAAAGTTGTCAATTAAAGGTAGTTTTGGACAAAAAAAGCTATATATATATATATATATATATGAATTTCATTTCATTCAAAAAGTTTTGTTTGAATGTGTTTGACTTTCATTTGAATCATTTAGTTTTGTTGAATGCATTTGACTTTCATTTGTTTCAAAAAGCTTTGTTTGAATGTGTTTGACTTTCATTTGATTGAAAAAACTTTGTTTGAATGTTTTTCACTTTCATTTGATTCAAAAAGCGTATATATATATATATTCTTTTTTCTTTTTTTGTGTGGACCTACAGCTCTCAAGTAATGTTTTATTGATCGCTTTTACAAGGATTAGCTGCACAACTTTAGTTTTGGGCTTTCACTTTATAAATCACTTGTGATTGTTGCCTGACTATAGTGCCTAAGGAATTGTTCATATCCTTCCAATGCTTTGAAGAATTACTAAATTTTGCACCATTTGATGCTTCAAGAGGGGGGGGGGGGTTACTAAATTTTCCCTCTTTTATGGACACACCCATGCACATTTCTATGACGGAATTCTTTTCAGTATATTGCTTACCACCTTTCCGTGTTAGAGATGAAACCAGCGATCAATTAGTACAAGAATCTTAGTAGTTCAAGTATACAAAATCTGTCTGGAGAGGCTCAATAGCTTGCTTGATAGCTTATAGCAAAGCATGGTTATGATTTATGACGATAAGGAAAACAGTGAAACTTAAACAGCTCTCAATTTAGTCTCGTGACTCGCACCTGAAGGGTGGAGCATTTTTAAGCTTCTATTCAAATTAGAGGAAATTACAGCGAGTTTCTCAAGATAAAATGAAGCTTAAAATTCTACTTGAATACATCCAATCTGCTTTGTTGGAAAACTGTGGAACGAACTGAATAAAGGTTTATGATAGGATATTCATCTTGGAATTGCGGAAATGACCAGAGAATTAGGCTCTTCTTAATATACTGTAAAGAATATTATAAAGAGCTACTCCTTTAGTCATTACTTTTTGAAGTGCAGAGTATTATTATGTTTCTTCAATGAATAGTCAAGAGCCATGGTGATCTGAAGTTGAAAAACTTTTGCACACTTTAAGTATTCTTCTCTCAGCTACAATGTTCTTTCCATGGGCAAAACCCTTATTTATTTTTTACATATATTTCGAAGTCTTCCATGTAATAGATGTTACATAAGGATGCCAAGAGTGTTGAATTTGAGGTTTAGTTAGGAACAATGTGGGGGAACCTTTTCTTGGGTGGTCAGGTGGTTGAAGACTTCGAGCTACTTTTCTCGGTGTTATGACTCGTCTAAGAATTGTAATTGCTTAGCACCCAATGCATGTATACTTCATATTATTTAAAAAACAGAAATTTTATAAATTAGGTATGTTTTTACAAAATTATATGTTTTAATTCTTAAAATTATCCATGATCACTAGTCCATGTACCAAACATTTACCCAATCCAAGCCTCTCCATCCCAATTAGACACTTGGACATGGCCATATTGGTCTTTTGAACAATTCTTTCTAAGTTGTTTTCTAATAAAATCATACTACTTCTGTTTCATAGTGCTCTTAACACTTTCTGTTTTAATCCGTTTCATGTTGTTCTGCACAGTTTTGCTCTTCTTTTTGACTGCTTTACCCTTCATCCTCTTACCACACAATTTTATACCATTCTGCTCACTCCTAGTTTGGGCACCTTTTTTTTTCAACCACTCACCTTTTTATATTCTCTCTCTGCTATATATATCTTTTTCTTACACTACCTACCTTTTTACACACACTCTCCATTTCTTAATTATTGTGCAAACAGTTTATAATAAGAACATTATGAAACAGAGGATAATATCATACATATCGGCTGTTGGCGGGAAATACACAATGTTGTTCTCTTTAGAGAGCTCAAGAGATTACAAATCTGTTGTGTATTGTCAACATTTTCATTGCCTCTTGTAGTATCTGGCTTTTTTATCCATTTCTACTTAGCTTTCCTTATTCCTTCTTTCTGAGGGTTGGGAATCTTACTACAACTGTCAAATTCCATCTTCGGCCAATAAATTCTACCAACAAGAGCTTCAATTCTCAACTCCTTTTGGATCAATCGATTTCAACATTCAACCGGCTCCCTTGCTGATAAAACATGTGTTTCTTTCATGGTCCTTCATCAGCTTATTATCTTCCCTGCATTGATTCTTATTTCTTACTATTATATCTCAATAACATAAATCTGAGCTAAAAGTCAACTCAAAATCTCACGTCTGTGTTTGCATTTTTGGAATTATTGTTTGATTAGATAGAAATGAAGCAGGAAAAAATGTAGGCAACAAATGATTGTATTAGCTTAATCAGCCAAATTAAACTAATTACAACCTCCCTGGTCCTCACATTCGAGAGGTTAGAAATGGTCTCTCTCTCTCTCTCTCTCTCTCTCTCTACAGTGTTGCCTTTTGCCTTTTGTTCTTACATCATAACAGACTCCCTTAAACTGCGCTGACACTTGCACGATTCTACATGCAATTTAAAAACTCTCTTGAGTTATTCCCCTAAATTACCCTTTCTCCTCCTCCTGTAGGTATTTGGTATGGGTGTTTTTGGCTGATTCCTTGCATTTAACTAGTTTTCATGCGTGTTGTACTTCAATAGGTTAGATATATTGAACCAGTAATTGCAATTAATTTGCAGGATTTGTCTCTTCTGAGGTTCGACTTATATGTGATCTGGAGCAGCCTGAACCTACTTGGTATGCAAAAATAGCTCTTCTATAAGATTGTTTACTTTACGCTTTATCCTAGGTTACAAAGGATGTGTAATACGCAGGCTTGTTCGTCATGTTGGTGGTGCAATGAGAGGTGCTGGCGCTGAACAGATTTCAGTTCTGGTGCGGACCATGGTAGAAAGCAAAGCTAGCAAGAATGCCCTGCGCTTGTTTTATGCACTTGGCTATAAATTGGATCATGAGTTGTTGCGGGTGGGTTTTTCCTTCCATTTCCATAGGGGTGCTCAAATCACTGTTACTGTCTCGTCAGTTAATAAGTTATCAAAGTTGCATGCGGTTGATGACGGTGATCCAGTCACACCAGGCATACAATTAGTTGAAGTTACTGCTCCTGCTACATCTGATAATTATGGTGAAGTTGTGACTTCTGTCTCTTCTTTCTGTGAATACCTTGCCCCGTAAGCCCTGCTGTGCTCCTGAACTTTACAATTTAACCTGCTAAGTAAGTTAAAGCTTGAAGCTGTGAATGACATTTCCTTGTTTTATGTTGTGGAACAATTGCAGGCTGCTGCATTTATCAAAACCTGGTGTATCTACTGGGGTAGTCCCAACTGCTGCTGCTGCTGCTGCATCTCTGATGTCTGATGGTGGAGGCACAACTGTGTAGCTTCTGCTGAGCTGGGAGGTATGAACAATGTAGTCTTGATTTAAATATTTTTGAGGTTTACAGAAGTGACAATCTTTATAGATTATTTAGTTTGAAAGGTGATTGTTTCTTTTCTTCCAACATAATTTTCTGTTATAGCCATTTCTGTCACATTAATTTTAATGCTTGATATTTTCCTCAAAAAAACTTTAATGCCTGATATAATGATAATTCCTAACAAGAGATTCAATCATCTGATGACCTCTGCATTGACAAATTCCTGTCCTACAGCTTCTTTTTTTTTTTTTTTTTTTTTTTGACCTTAGTCTGCTGCTGGCTCATATTAAGCTCTCTCTTTGGTATAATGGACTTTAATTGTGTTCCTAGGATGCATGGGCACTTTGAGTGGGGTGTCACATTTCACCTCAGTCAGCTGCTGGCTCATATTAAGCTCTTTCTTTGGTATAATGGACTTTGATTGTGCTAGGAATTAGCCTGACCTGCAAGCTACCCACACACAACAAGTAATCAGAAGGAAGGAGGAGGATAAATTGTATTGCTGATCAACAGATTACAGTCAATACACCTTTCTTTCGAGAGGAAAGGACTCTCCCACTAAGCAAAGCTTAACAAAATTCTTAGCATAATTATTACAACAGAAAATCCCTCCCTTAAATAAGCTTAGCCAGCTAAATCCAAGCTAAAGATTCTTCTCTCTCTATAACAAACTTTTCTTAACAGAATTATAAAAGTAACCGACTCTTCTGCCCTTACAAAATCAATTGTTGTTACTGCCCTTGCCATGCTTCTTCCTTGCGTAAGTGAATACCACAGGAGGCCTAGAAGGATCTCTAGCAGATTGTGACAACAGTGTTGATATCGTTCATTATATTGAATGTTTTCCATTAGCATTTGTCTTGATAAACTTATTTTTCCTCTGCTTGAGATGTATTAGTGTTTTATTCTTTCAAACTTTTTATTTTATGCCATTCTCAAACCTCTTTCTATATACTTATACTTCGTATTGCTCTATGTGAATGCTTCAGATCATTCTCTGACAATAGATTGATCTTGGTAAAGTAAAATGCCAGCAAGGTAGTTGTATATTCTTAAGTGCCATCCCATTACTAAGCATAGGTTTTTCCATATTGTGTTTGTGTGCTAGTGTGTTTATCAATATGTATTCATGTATAAGGAGACATTTTATCACTTTCCTACTCATACATTAGATTTGTCTTCAATATGGGATGACACTATGGCAGTTTACAATTATACAATAATTTTTTGAAATTTCATTTCTCATTTAAATTCTGACTTACCTGTGTTCCAATGATGACCACTGATTGTACATTTGTACTACCTTAATTTAGTTTTTGAATGCTGATTCAAAATATTTTTGTTTGCGCTGTGTACACTACATTTAGATATTACAGACGTGGAAAGGTGACCACAAGTCCAACCATAATTGAGAATAATATGATCATCAATCCTGTGAAGTTCACAACGAGCGCTTCTTGGGTTCGCTGAAGCTTCAAGAAGGTGAACTTTTCCACCAAACCCATAACAGCAGTACATATTGCTAGAAGAAATATGACTATGCCTCCAAATACATGCCATGGTGCTACTGCTGCTCTGGCTGTTGATTTAGAATGCGGAAATGCAAATGTGATGAAAGAGAGTATCCACTGAAAAACCATTTAAACAAAAGCTCTGGTCAATTTCCAAGTTGTAATGCATATGCTAAAAATTAAGTTTTATTATATCATTCTCTATTTATATATACGAAGTATATGAATTTCAGATGGTAAAAAAGAATAGCAGTTCACCTGTAAACCATACAGGCATATGGTGCTTATACCGAGCCATGAATGAAACGTATAGAGGTGCGGTATTGATAGCTCTTTATGAAACTTGAAAACTGCATATATTCCCACTATACCAGTGATAAGAGCTACTAGATGCAGCATCAAATGCACTTTCTTTTGTGTCCTTTTTGCTCCTGGGATTGTCTTGTATGCCATGATAGCTATTTTGCAATTTTAATAATTAGCAGCATCAGCTCACTAGCGTTGTTCTTTTACTCTTTATGCAAAATTAATTGTTGCATTGTCTCTCTCTACCACTTTACGTGTTTTGTTTAAAAATTTAACCAAATGTCAGTATATTTTAAGAAATGTGTAGAGTTTTCAAATATCCTAAAATAGAATATGCAACTATTGTTTTTTTTTGGAAGAGAGTGTAATTATCCAACTGAATTGTGCACTTGTCACCTGTTTATCATCCACAAGTTTTATATTGTTGTGAAACCAAAACTTGGTATTGCAACATACAAAGTATGAACTTATACACGAATAACGCATTTTGCTATTATGATCTACTTTATAAAGTAGCAATGAACAATCTTGATAAATTTGTTTCACTATATATTTTCAACCTATCAAAATTTTCACAAGTTTGTAAAAGTAATAAAATTTAAGATATATCCATGTATAGTTTTGGCAAAATTTTAGGTGATAGAGAGTATTTCTATTATCTATTGCTATTGTTTGAAAAACTAGATGCAAAAGAGCAATGCAATGCAAAGGAAGATTTAGTTATCATCATGATAAACAAAAATAACAAAAAATACAGGTCAACCTTACATTTAATGAAAAGTTATTGATTAATTTACAAAAATTGTTACTAGGTAAACAACTTATTATTATTATTTTATTATTATGATGATGCTGATGATGATGATGATGATGATGATAAACTTGTATTTTCTTATTGCATAATTGATTTAACTTCACACTTGTCTCCAACATATAAATATGGACTTAAAAGAAACTTGTATAAAAGTAGTTGGGAGTGAAGAAAGCAAGCTACAACGGAGTGGACTTACCTTCTCCTCCTATCTCAATGACCCCAATGATCATTAGAAGCGGGTGTATCTGCAAGCAGAATTTGATATGCAATGCTTTAAAAGTACGAAGACAAATGCTACAAAATATTACCGTGAATATGTTTTATCATGTGTATAGATGCAGGATTATGGAGTGGAGAGTCGGTCCATCTCTCCCAAAAGTGACTTGGGTTCGATCCTCATGTATTCAACCCCACCCCCCGGTATTTTACCGTGTTAAAAAAATCATTTGTATGAATGTCTAATAATAAAGGAAATAAATGAAAAGTGGAAAAATAGACGTGTTCATCAAATAAACGGAGGAGATACGGTAGGTAATATGCTGTGGACTAATAGAATAGGAAGGGACTTACATTGAAAATTTGCGGTTTGATGTGAGACCTAAAAGCAAGGCCTTCCCTGAAGTGTAAAAGCCAAACAAGTACCAAGGTAGTCATGGCCACAGCCAATAAGTGGGCAAACATCGTAGCTAGACGCGACGAAGCTCGTGTGATAGCCATAAGAAACTACTTAGCTTGCAATGGAGATGCAAAGAAAGATATCAACAAGGAGCTGATATTAAAAGGATAAACGTTGGAAATTTCTTTAAGTTAATTTGTGGTGGCAGCAAATATCATATCACATTCACTTGGTTAAGGTTTGCTTCTCGTTTGTTACATGTCACTTTCCAGAATTAATATAAATCTAACTTCGGACAAACCAACTTTGTTAAATTAAATTTGAATAGTAGTACTGGTATGAAACCAAATTTCAGCTTTTAAATTTGGTGGGTACATTAGGACCGTAGGTTATTATTAGTTGGGGGATACAAGTAATATTTGGGCGTGTGCAATGCACCAATACCCTCTAATCTAGGGGTTGTTTGGTTACACAAAGAAAATGGAGGAAGTCAAAAATCATGGGAATTTGAAAATAGGTGAGTTGTTTGGTTGACACTAAAAAGTAAAAATGAGGGAATTGCAAATTCATGGGAATTGTGACTTCCCACAAAACATGGGAAGTTGATTATCCAACCCCCCTAGGTAAGTCAAAATTCCCATGATTTGCAACTTCCTTCATGTCAATCAAACAATTTTAAGCAATTCTCATGAATTTGATGTAGGAATTTAATTCCCATGAAATACAAATTCCTATGGGAAGTAAATTCCCATAGCAACCAAACGACACCCTAATACTACCTCCGGTCCAAATTACTCGCAACTTTGAAATATTCTATATCTTACAAATAATACTCCAAAATTGCGAGTAATTTGGACCAGAGGTAGTATATCAATATTAAAACAAAACATGATGTCATCAGATCTTTCTCAAATTGTACACATATCACTCTACATGATTTTTTCCGTCAAGTTACGATATTGATGTAGTTATTTTTTTAGGAAATTTTGTTACAAATTTTTTTTTATAATAACAGTTTAGGGTAAAGATATCCTAGATACGTGGCGCAATCAAAGAGGGACACGTGTCAACTTTGGTAGGTCCAACATGGCCACTCACCAGCTGACACGTGTCAGCCTAAGATGGCAAATAGAATGGTGGCCTTCAGGGCCCAATTCCCAAGAACACCGTAAAACGACGCAACCCATTAGGTCAGAATGATCTCATGAGCACGTATTCCAATGACCCTATAAATAGGGGGATTTCTCCCATTTTGGGGACACATTCATTTATTACAACAAACCTACATTCTCTCACATCAGAGAAAAAACACTTGATCTCGGAATCCGAGAAGATCTCATCTTTACCTTTTCCGCACCTTTTCATCTTCTACGACCAATACTAACTTGATCGTCGGAGGCGGAGCTTCTACCAACCGGAGTCTCCGTGTTTTGCAGGTACAGATCGCGCTGGACCAGTCTTGGTGACGTAACTCTCCCGAGGGACCAAAAAAACAACCCAAAACAACAACTTTTTTGTTGGGAAAAACTTTATAAAAGTTTTTTTGGCATGGAGAAACCAGCTCGTAAATTTTTTTTGTTGAAGACAGCCAAGGGTGACAATCCGGCATTGACTGGGGCTTTTCCAGCATTGACTCTAACTCTCTCGTTTTAATTTTTCCCTTTTTTCTTCTAATTTCCCTCATCCTTCTCTCGCCTCTGTTCTCTTTTCTATGTCATTGATCTGAAGATCTTGAAAGGCATGGTTTTTTGAATTTCTTGCAAAAATAGTGTTCGGCAAATACTTTCGACCAAGGATGCAGTGACTGAGGTGTTTAAGTGTTGCCCAGGTCATCTTATTTGCAGGTATGTGAAAAATTAGGGTATTATTTCCCCTTTCTTAATTTGCGCTAATTGCTCTTATTTATCTCAATTATGTAGGATTCATGACTCCATTGAAGGATATCGGATGTGCTTGTGGTTTTTCTGTTGCAAAGAGGACATCTTAGACTCACGATAATCCTAGTAAGAAATTCATTGCATGCAAGTTTTACAACCATGAAACTAGGCAAAGGGGTTGCGATAAATTTGAGTGGGTTGATGAAGGTATTGTTGTTTGGCAGAGAGATGTAACTAATATCCTGGTAGTAGAGAAGCATATGCTTGGTACTAATCTTACCATTATGAGAGCAAGACTGGCATGTGTTGAGCATGAGAAGGATAAATTAGCCAAGGAATGAATTGAGAAGTTGAACAACAAAATTTGGAGAAGGAACACTACAACTAGGTTGAAAAAGAGGGATGGGGTTAAGTATGGGTATATAATTTTTATGTGTGATATTGTATTTGTTGTTGTGAGTTTCATATTTGTGAAACTCTTTGGTTAGAATTGGTTAGTATTTGAGTAAGTTAGTTAGGTAGTTATTAGTTAAGTTCATTATATGTACTTACTCGATCAGAATTATTAGAAATGAAATGAAAGTTGCATTTTATCTAAATAAATTATGTGTTTTAATTGGTATGTTACATATGATAACATAAGCAAAACACTACTGGCTATATCAACAAAATAAGCACTAATTAAAAGGTGCTAAATATATGCAATGCCTTACAGACAAGGACTTAGCTCACAAAAGTAAATCACAAAAGAAGCTAGCCAAACTTAAATAAGTTCACGTAGCAAGATACAGAGCATTTGGCATAAAATTCATGGATAACTACTCTGAGTAGGTTGTTCTTGGGACTGTGTTAGTGGTGGCTGTCCAGTTATAGAGGCTAAAGTTTGTGATGCTTGACCAGGTTGAGATCGGTTTACAAGTCCTTTCTTCTTCCTACATCTAGGCTTGTTTGCAACCGTCTTTTTTTTTTTTTTTTTTTTTTTTGTTGGTGCAGCAGCAGGGACATGACCCTTCTCCATTCTCATAAGAGCAACACTAGCAACAGTCTTCCCCTTCCTCTGAGTAGTGGAAGCATGAACATGAGACTTCTCCTTTGAGGTAGGACCAGAAGTAGCAACTCTCTTCCCCATTCTCTGAGTAGTGGAAGGGAGCTCTGGCTTGAAGAGCTGTGATAGAAGCAGTGGTTCATGAGAGCTGGTAATCTTAGTTGTTGAAACCTGAGAACCTGAGACCTCAGGAAAAGCATCAACATTTCTTCCCTTTCCCTTAGGCACTTTTTTCATTATTTGGTTGAAGTATGATTTGGTCTTGTAATGACCAAGACCACCACATCTTCCACACCTATTTTTCTTCTTTGCCCTTTTCACAATTTTTCTTTCTTGATCTTCTCCAACTCTCTTCTTGTTATTAGGCCTACCAGGCATAACTTCATGTGGAGGGGGCCATGGTTTTGGGTAAGGTGTCACTGTAGGGTTTTAGGTACTTTAATGCGGAATTTCATGAATCATATTCATTCGTACCTAAACAGAATCTAAAAGCATAAAACATAAAGAATCACATAGTACATACCTTTGACGCATGATTTCCATAAGAGATTGATTGGCAATTAGGGAGATAATAGATCCCTAAGCGTTACTCCTCTACTTACTCCACGGGATAGGATTGAACCTCCACTACTGCTAGGTAGTTGGCCTGGGCACGAAGGCTTCGAGCTACCTTCTACGGAGATGGGAGGAGGAAACCGACCATAAAAACCACCACACCACCACTGTGCGCCACCTTGCACTAGGGGTCGTACAGCTGTACGGATGGGAGGAATGGAGTAAGGAGAGAGATTGTGTGAGGCTAGGATTTGGTTGCTAGCAAGTCTATTCTCAATTGACTGCTTAAGTTGTTATGTCAAAACCTAGGCAAGGCCTCTATTTATACATCATATGTATAATTAGAGTCCAAACCAAGCCCACAATACTCTCCCTTTTATCCCATATGGCCGACCATTCCATGAGGCCCAATAATGGGCTTCTTTCTTTTGTTCAATCTATATCCCTTTTGTGTGACCTTATAGGCTCCATTCTATTGGGCTTTGGACTATTTGAGTAGTCCAAAGATCATTAATCACATATAGCAACATACAATGACAACCTAAAAGAACGAACTTAATTATCTCCATAATTTGATCCATTATATATCTAGTAATTGCACTTGATGAAGACATAAATCCTTCAATCTCCCACTTGTCTAAGACAAATGTGAAATATTCAAATTCCTTATGTCAATATGTGTCGATTTGATAATATGATTGCATCACATGTCAAGATCATATTAATCTACAAATCATTTCTTGAAATCTGAGTTAGAATTACAAAACAAATGATTACTAAGTAATACATTTGAGCGCGGCCACGCATTTACTGAATTCTCCCTCTTCAAGGCGCGATGACACATTTCTAATTAAATAGGTAGACTCAATCCAATCTTGTGGCAACTAAAGCTCCCACTCAACTCTTGAAGCAACCAGGAAACATCCTTTATAATCTCCAATTTCGGGTAGACGTTTGAGTGTACCACAGTTAAATCAATCATTGAATTGAATCAATGTTCCACTCATGTCAAAGGAATCCACTAATATATCCAAAAGCTCTATACTTGAACTTCAAAGTAGGTCAATAGTTTGATCATGCATCATTAATGCATATCCATGTGATTGACCGAGCATCACTATGCCCCTATATAGCCCATGAAACTGCGCTATCCAATCAATCTTACATGCTAGTCCATTCATTGAAATAATTTATGTCCACTTTAATGATTTCGAACTAGGAACTTAAATAATGTATGAATTTAGTTCACCTGTGGGTTTCATTCACCAGGTCATCAACTTGATGAGCCCATCGATTCATAATTATTTTGGACATTTTATTTTATTTCATAAACCATAATTAATTAAGATTGAAACTTTGTTTCAATTGATAAACATAATTCTGCAAATTGATGTATTACTTATGTAATATGCTTTCTCAAAACATATACAACTTAAATTACATAACTTGCATCAATCCAAGAACCTTAGTATGACTCTCATACCTTGGTTATGGAAGGGGTTTAGTAATTATAATTCATGATACATTCTCATAAATATGAATTTTGAAACTTCTAAATTTTAATAATAATATTCATCTCCATACACTAATAACTTTCTTTCATCCTTCTACTAGGAATCAGAAATTTCTAATTGTTTTCCAACGTTACATTGGATTTCGATTGAAATCTACCATCACTTGTTCTTAAAACATGTGAATCAAATATACGAGTATAGTCCATGACATACATGATGCTTCTTTTGCAAAATGCACAAGGAGCATCATTCAAAACCTT